TAGTGTGGCAGAAACTAGACGTCCAAATTCACATGACCAACGGTGTCTCACCCATTGGTCCTGAAAGAGTGGATACCACCTCTGGAGAACGCACAAGGTCTGCTCATCGGCAAGACTGATTGTGCAGCTCATTGGAAATAAAATAAAAATTTACATTGCTAAAATTATACACTTCTGTAAGAAGAAATGAATTTGCACAGGGATGCCAACTTTTTAAAAAAATTTGGGGAAATTTCTTCTAATGATAGCTAAGTTTATTTTTTTTATGTATGGTTATTTGTCTTTTTAATTCGATTTAAAGTTGTTTCTCAAACAACTACTTGTAAAGTATTCAAAAATTTAAAAATAAAAACACTAATTTGATCCAGTTTTCTTGTAGTGAGAATTTTACAATGTTGGCAAAATTACCAAAAACTCTGAAAAGTTCAATTTTTAATTGTAATAAAATGTTTTGCAAAAGGTGACGTAGTAAGCAGAAATGTGCGTTAGATAAATAACGTTTTATATGAAGTTTAGAGTAGTTGGCGCGTATTGGTGGCGAAGTGGCTTTAAATCAAAGTTACTAAGCGAAGAATCATACTATGAATAACATACTTTGCTTACACGAGAGATTGAGATGCATTTCATTGGCCTTTACAGGGGAGCATACAGTGTGGCTCGCCCCTAAAATTTATTTAAAACATTCCAGAAAGCAATTATGAAAAAAATGTAAATATTCCGGTGGCTTACAGACAAGGGTTAAGGAAAAAAATTTACAAAAAAGCAAATAATTTAATGGATAAAAAAAATTTAAAAAATTCGTAGAACAAAAAATTAAGCAACATTAAAAGCAAATCAAGGTTCAAGCTTGCTAATACTTGAAAAATATTTGCCCATAAAATAGATCAATTTGGCGTTTCTGAGTAAGTGCATTGTTCACGTTTAACTCAGTGCGACCTGGAATTAGCTTTGTAAAATTTAGTTAGATTCCAGAATATTCTAGATCTATCTATAATATTCCTGAATTTTTATTTATCTAGGTATACGATGGGCTCAACAATAGTGCACCTCTAGTGATGAATCAGTGTCATACCTTCATGCCTCCTGATCCTGTGTTCTCCACTGGAAATTCATTATACTTAGAAACAAATATGACAAATGGTCTTGGATTATTTTATATGAACTATATGACAACAGATCAGTGTAAGCCGTTTTTATGCTAAAAAAATCATAACCTTCTCTTATGCATATTCTCTTTCAACCTTTTAAGATCTAAGATACACGAACGTACAAAGCGCCTGAAAAAAAGGAAAAAAAACGGACCACACTGAATAACTTTTAATCTAAAGATCCGATCTTCATGTTCTAGAACTTATTCGTTAATTTTGCTAAAATTTTGTATTTTTCCATGTAAAATTGTAATCTTTCAACTGATGCAAAAAATTGCATACCTTGCAATTAAAATTGTTTTTAACAATTAAAATTTTTAAAAAAGTAAAAAATAATAAATAATTACTCTAAATTATTTTTTACATGGAATTGTCTTTGGATAAACAAATTTTATAACTGTGGGCAAACATTTCTCGAGATATAGATAAGCAAAAATTGAAATCAACATTAAGAAGTCCAAACTTTAGATCGCTCTCCTGACTAAACTATGGTGACCATATTTTTCAGATTGCGGCTACCCCTATATTTCGGGGGACTGAAATCCGAATCCATTGAAAAAAAGGTGTGTTCATACAGAGAAAGTACGTTTTGTGTCTGATTTCGCAAATTAAAATATAGTCTGCGCTAATTAATTAGCATATTTCAGGTCACCCCCTCGAGCCATTAAGATTCAGTCCCTGAAAGTGAAGATCCGATCATTAGATCAAAAGTTATTCAGGGTGGTCCGTTTTTTTTTTTTAGGCGCACTGTACAACCCGCAGAATACCCCGTGGCCTTGAATATTTGAAAAGTCATGACTGCCATTTCTTAAGACTATAGAAAATGTTATTAAATTCTGCCTCCTCTTAAATTTAAATGAAACATGTTTTGAAATTTTATTTTCATTTTAATTAAATCGATGTTTTTGGTTAGTATGAAGATTTTTCTAAAATTTAGTAGCCACTTCAAAAAAAATTTCAGATCAACCTTATTTGAAATATATCATGTCTGAAGAGGTGGTTAAGATATTTCTTCTGAAATCTGATTTATCATTTGTGTTGTTGTTGTTGACGTATGCCATTTTAGGCTGAGGGGGTGCGATTGTTCTTGTTTACCAGTGGCGCCATCTATGGCCAAGAATTCGACTTCTGCCCCAACCATACGTCATACCCGTTTATGGGACGTGACCCATTCATACATCCATTCATTCATCCACAGATCGTAATTTTGTCCTGAATCAGAGAACGATCGATCTCCAATCCAGTANTTTGTTATGGGAACATGGAGGACTTTGAGACTCCACAGATTTAACGTGCATCAGTCACTATTTACAACACGGGGAGTCTCCGGCCGGCAGGGATCGAACCCCCGACATCTTGGACAGGGGCCCAGTGCTCTACCAATCAGGCTATCCCGGTCTTATCATTTGTAAGCCTTGAGACATTAATAAGCCTCAAAAAAATGTACGCTGGAGGTTTTAGAATGGCCCAAATAAGAAACGTTATAATTTTAATTAGAAATGTAACACTTTTGCTCAACTATTTGAAGCTTTTTTCATTCTTTTTGCGATAAAACTTAATAAAACTATTTACTTTTTTCTGATAATTAGTACATAAATTATATTATACTCGATATGATTGTTTTAACGCATGTTAGTATATAGAAATATTTATTTCTATTTTGTTATATCGGAGGCAATAGTTGCGGACAGAAACTATATGTTTCTTGGGAAAAAAATTGGGCACAAACCATTTGTACCAGTAGTTCTCTATTTCTGGTGCAAAAAATTCTTTTGAGGAAGTTTTTAATTTCTTTCTTGATTATTCCAGGCAAAAACTGTTTGATATTTGAACTTGTAGCTCCTAATTCAAACGCTTGCTTACAAAGCAAGCGTTTGCTTACGATTAGTGACATAGCAAGGTCTTTGATTTTCTTACAAAGTTAGGTAACATCGTCGGTTTTAATACACAGTCAGTGGATTTTTCTTAGATAGCAAAGAAGTTGTTGCACTCATTGCGACAAAACTTTCAGGATCATTTTGAGTACGTAGAAATCACTTTAATTGGGAAACATAAAATAACGCACTGAACTCGACAGCTACGTATAATAAAATGATTTGTAGAACAGTCTGAAACACGCGCGATGTCATTCTATGACCCCAGTAACTGTTAAAATAACATATAATAGGAGAGAGAAAAAGGCTAAAAATTCCTTATAATCATTCACAAAGGGCAGAAAAGAATGGAAAACTCAAGAATCCAGTTTTTAATGAAGTTTTGTTGGAGACAGTCACACATGTTCTATGTATGACGGTTCAGTCACATGACACACCTGGAGCCAGTAATCCATTTCCGCCCAAACGCTTGTTAGGGTATCTAGAGCAAACTGTTACGGAATCCACTTTTTCGGATACGTTGACTCTTTGGTTGATGCCACAGTTTGCAGGACGGCATGACAACTTCATTCTCCAAATGGATGGTGCACCACCATACTTGTCGGCTACTTGCGAAATTACTTCAAAGAGTATCTCTCTCATCGATAGATTGGACAGACTGCAACATGGCCCGGTAGCCACCCGGCAGTTCTAACCTAAAACCTTGTGATATCTTCCGATGGAGATGCGTAAAGGACCAGATATTCGTCTCTCTCCTTCCTGTTGATCTTTATTTATATTACTGGCTAATTACATATATATACACAGAGAGAGAATGAAACTATTAAATAAGCTTTATTACATTAAATTGATTTTTATCTTGTGTTTTGTAGCTCGTGGTTGTGGAGGTAGTCTGTTTGCTGAAAGAGGTGCTGTTTCAAGCCCACTCTATCCTCTGCCTCTTAACACTACATCTAATTGTGCATGGTATATCGGAGTTCCAGGTTACCACACTGTGAACTTGGCCTTCGTGAACTTCAACTTAACTTCGGCAGCAGGCTGTACCACCAACTACCTTGAGATTTATGATGGTCAGTCAGGTGATATTTCAGAAAGAGTTGTTAGATATTGTGGTTCTGTAAGTATAACTACTTGACTTAATTTTAGAGCTTTAGAAAATTCTAAATAAACTTGATAGTTCCAAAATATTAAAGAAGGAATTTTTTCATTCCAATATTTTTTTTTACAATGACGGCCTGGGAATGGCCTATGTTATACAGGTAGCAGTCTTGCAGGCCACTTTTCCAGGGGCACCATATTAGGTGGGCCAACGTTGCTCCCACAGTAAGGACAGATAGTACAGAGAATGAAAGAGCATCCATGCTTTGCCCGGGATTCGAACACAGAACTTTCCTTATGGAAGGCCAGTTCCCTAACCCATACACTGGCCGGTTGGCTTCTTTCCAATATTAAAGTTGGTATTTAAAACAAAAAAAAGTATGCCACAGATTATATTAAATGAATAATCCAATGATTATAAAGAAGATGCAATTACAAATTTCTTCTTAACCACAGGTTTTCTGCTTTTACTAAGAAGGAAAAATTTAAAATATTGAATAAACTAAGGAAAAAGACTCCTTGATATAGTGACTAAAAGAACAGAATAAATGAAAATGACGCATGTAAATTAAAATCTCTTTTTGATAGCTTACATTTAGGTGATTTTCAGAGAACATTGAACTAATTCTTCTTAAGTAGTTATTGAATCCCAAAACCATTTCAACATGAAAGCGTTAGGCAAATAATTAATACACCCACTTCCAAAAATTAAGAACGGAGCAGTAAAATGCAGAAAAAAATCAGGCAAGTACTATTTAGTTTGACAAAAAATCCTTCAAGTAAGTACCATATATGTATAATGGACAGACTCCTGGTGGGGCACTTGGGGGCTGATAGAGCCATACAGTCCACTATAAGTAGGCTCATAAGTGGACTCATCAGGTGTCTCTCTTTTGAGCTTGGGCGAAAGACCTATTCAACGTGCACGAGGTGTAACTCTGCACAGGCTTCTCCCGATCACATTTTACACTGTCTTGGTCTGGAAAAGAAAGACCTCTACTCTGATCCCTTACTTGCATTTGATTTCCTGAAGACTTTCGAGCTCATTGACTTGGTCTAGCCTGGGGCTGACCAAGAGGAATAAGTCAACAACAACAACAAGATATGTTTATTTGTGAAGCAAAATAAAGAATAACACACAGAGATAAAAACAATATTGAAATTGAATAGAATGTACGCTGGCGTCATGTTAGCGTCTTTCACAAAAGTATTTTTACTTTTTCTAGCTGTTTGAAAAAGAAGTTTTAATTAATATATATATATAACTCCCCCTTTTTTTCATATGTCTGTAATTTATCTTCGTTTTATCTTCATTTTGAACTTATATCTGTAGATTATATAACTCATTTATAATAATTGCATTTTATATCTATATTTTTCCACAGCGACCAGACATTGCTCCCAGTGCTCGCATGTGTGGTTCTCAAAGTCAGGAGCTTGTCGTTCCAAGTGGAATGCACCTTATTTTCCACAGTGACTCCATCCCTAATCAAGGCCATGGATTTAAGTTATCATACAGCGATGCAGGTAAACAGAACAGTAATAATAATAACTTTTAATTCTCTTAATATCAGTAAAAAGGAGATTTATA